CCAGCACCAGCCCCCCCATGGGTCAAGCCCCCCCATTGCTTTCAGTTCCCCACATCTGCAACCATGTCCCCCAGAGCCAGGGCACACGCCTGCACACACATGTAGCACAGCTGTGGTGCTCACATGCACCTCACACCCATGCATGTGGGCAGCCTGTCACACTTCCCCCATGTGTGCCCGTGCACTTTGTGCTGCAGGTGCGACCCAGCCACGCTTCCCACACGTGTGCACATAGACACAGCACGCATCAGGCAGGAGGCCTGCAGCGGTTCCCACAGGCGTGGCTGCACGCACCTTACATGGCAGACATGAACCTGTCACGCTTCCCACACACATGCACAAGGACACAGCACACACATGCAGGCATGCACACACGCTGTAACGCTTCCCACACATGTGCACACGGACACAGCACACAGCACACACATGCAGGCATGCACACATCCTGTCACACTTCCCACCCATGTGCACATAGACACAGCTCACATCACACACAGCCATGCATGCACCGTCATGCTTCCCACACATATGCACACAGACACAGCGCACATCACACATAGGCATGAACCAATCCTTATGCTTTCCATGTGTGTACCCACGGATACAGCTTGTATTGCACAGGCCAGCACGCATCCTGTCACACTTCCCACATGTGTGCACACAGGTGCATCACACACCGCCATGAACACACCCTGTCCCGCTTCCCACACATGTGCACAGCAAACACCACGTGCCCGCACAGCCTGTCACACTTCCCCGGTGTGTCTGTGTGCCCACTGCACGCACAAGCCCGTTGGTTTCACACACACAAAGCCTCTAGCTGCCCCTTGCCGCTTACCTGGTGTGCACCGCTGTGCCCCCCCAATGCCTCTCGCACAGACGGCCGTCGTGCACGCACACATTGCAGCTGCCCACCTCCCATGCATGTGTGCACGTACATGTACCCCACAGACCCCCCCTGCACCCCCCCTTACCTTGCTAATCCCTGGGGGGCCCCAGCCCTCGGTTAACCCCTTCCCTGCCAGGCGAGGCCTCCCCATAGTGCCTCCTGTAGGCCACATGGCTGTGACCCTGGCCCCTTAGAGGTCAGAGGTCAAGGGTCAGAGGCCGCAGCTGGAGTACTGTGTCCAGTTTTGGGCTCCACAATTCAAAAAGGATGTGGAGAAGCTTGAGAGAGTGCAGAGAAGAGCCACGCGCATGATCAGAGGTCAGGGAAGCAGGCCCTACGATGACAGGCTGAGAGCCCTGGGGCTCTTTAGCCTGGAAAAGCGCAGGCTCAGGGGTGATCTGATGGCCACCTACAAGTCTATCAGGGGTGACCACCAGCATCTGGGGGAACGTTTGTTCACCAGAGCGCCCCAAGGGATGACGAGGTCGAATGGTCACAAACTACTACAAGACCGTTTCAGGCTGGACATAAGGAAGGACTTCTTTACTGTCCGAGCCCCCGAGGTCTGGAACAGCCTGCCACCGGAGGTGGTTCAAGCGCCTTCATTGAACACCTTCAAGAGCAAACTGGATGCTCATCTTGCTGGGATCCTATGACCCCAGCTGACTTCCTGCCCTTGGGGCAGGGGGCTGGACTCGATGATCTTCCGAGGTCCCTTCCAGCCCTGATGTCTATGAAATCAACCCCCTGGGCGAGTTGCATGAGGCCTGTAATCTGGCAAACTTGTCCCACCCTTGGGTGCTGCTGTGGGTGGGGGGGTAGCCAAGTGTTGCAAGCTTCCCTTAGGTAGTGCCCCAGCTGGTCCATCCCCCAGGTGGGGGTCTGGGGGAGGGGGCTGCCCTGCCGGTTCTGGCAGCGCTGACCTCACGGTCCCCAGTGGCTGTAAATCACCGGCAGTGAGATCATCACGCTATGATGTCACTGCCCCACACCCTTGGGTGCTGCTGTGGGTGGGGGGGTAGCCAAGTGTTGCAAGCTTCCCTTAGGTAGTGCCCCAGCTGGTCCATCCCCCAGGTGGGGGTCTGGGGGAGGGGGCTGCCCTGCCGGTTCTGGCAGCGCTGACCTCACGGTCCCCAGTGGCTGTAAATCACCGGCAGTGAGATCATCACGCTATGATGTCACTGCCCCATGGGAGCCGGTGGGCGGGGGGGTTCGGCCTATCCACCCTGGTCTGCTCCTGGGGCGGGGGGGAT